AAAATATAAACACTTGGTCAAACAACAAATATATATTCAGCGTGACTGAGAAGATATCTTCAAGTTGTAAGAACTTTCTAGAATAAACAACGAATTACGTCCCTGAGGTTTGTCAAAATAACATTGGTTGTCTGTATAGTTTTGAAATTATAAAATGGTAATCATGGTTTGTGAAAACGTTTGAATTTGGTCCTTTATTCGAATGAACGTTAAAAAATTCCATTAAATAAGAGAGATTTTTGTTCTTTTATCAATTTTTTGTATTTTACCTAATAAAAAACTATACATAAAATTGATTTTGATTGCAAAAGACATAAAAGAAATCAATAAAAGACGAAAATATCACTCCTTTAACTTGTTTTTTTTTTAATAATTGTTAGAGGAATAGATCAAATTCGGACATTTTTACAAATCACGATGATCATCTTACAATATCAAACTTGCAGAGACGAAAAATGTTATTTCCAACAAACCATAAGAACCAAATTTATAATTTACTCTAATTTTATGAATAATTTTTATTTTTGGTAAAAAAAAAGTAATAATTTCAGTAAAATCCTTAGGAAGTGTTTGGTTCGTTGGAATCCGCCGCAATTTGATGGAATTGGAATGATCAATTATGTTGACCAAATTCTATTACAACGTTTGGTTACCCACGAAATGAACTTGAATTCCGAAGATTTCATCATTTGAGAATTTAACCATTTAGGGGAAGTGATGGAATTAAAATCATTTCATCCAAAATTATGTAAATGACAAAAATACCCTCATTAGACTTTTAATAACCCTAGCCGCTCCATTCTATCTACTGCTTCTCAATCAATTGTTGCTTTCATCTTCTCGATCGATTGTTGCTTTCATCTTCTCGATCGATTACTGCTTCTACCAATCACTTCTTGTACTGCTTTGTATATATCCCACAAGATGAATGCGTATGTATATGTGTGTGTGTGTGTTGAAGAACAAAAAAGCTTCCACAATAGAATTTATGATTATTGTATATGATTTGTAATTAAAAAAATTAAAAATATCCAAGAAAGGGTATTTTGTTATTTTTCATCATTTCATTCCAATTATGTTGCAAAAACTCAATTAAGGTATTAGTCTTTGCCTCTCTTACCAAACAGATAGATTATGATTCATTAGACAGATTATATTTCATTCATACCAACCAAACACTTGGTCATTATAACATTCAATTTCAATTTCTTTCATATTTCTATTCATTTGACAAATTTCATTTCTTCATAAATCATTTTGCGAACTAAACACTCTCTTAAATAATCAAACGATTAGATAGCCACCTTAAGAAAAATTATTTATTGAAAAAATTGAATCTTTGATTATTAATTTATTTATTTTTGGACTTGCTTTATTCTAGTTGTTAAATTTATAAAAGCAAAAAACATTAAAGTATAAGCGTCTCCAACAACTTTAAAAAAAATAAAGAAAATAAGAATTTTGAGCCAATATTTTTCTCCAACAATTTTCTCAAACTATCTCTGTGATGGAGAAAATAGAAGAGAAAAATGTTTTTTCTTCAAATATAAAGAATACTCCAAAAATGATTACCAAGTGAAACCATCAATAGGAAACTTTGAAAATGAGAAATCTCTTGGAGATAAATATATATTTTTTTTAATTTTAACTTTTGGTTTTCCTTTTTTAAAAAAATTTAGAAAATTTATTGAAGATGCTTGATCGTCAACTATTTTAAGTTACAATTTGTAAAAACCACAAATATAATAATCAAAGTTACAGGCTAAAAAGGTTTAATTAATATTTTATAAAAATATGTGGGTCAACTTGACAAGCAATAACATTGTGTTCTCGAGTTTAAAAACGGATAACGAATGAGAAATACTTTTTTATGTTTGGAAAAAAAAAGAAAATAAATTTCTATGTTTTTAAATATGAGAGAAATGGAAGGGAATATATCATATTTATTAATATACCCTTTAAAAATACGTATTTATTATAATGAAATATTGGATAGTTTTGTAATTTTAATAATTTTTACAAAAGTTATAATTTCTTTCTTTCTCTTTTATTATCATTATTTCTTTTCTCTCCTAAAACAGTTTTAAGAACACGACTTTTTTTTGCTTTCCTCCCTTTCAATCGCTTTCTTTTTCTTCGTGAAAAAGGTTTCAAGACCATAGTGTAAGACTTGGGGCGTACGGGAATCCTCCAAAAAAAGTCATTGGGGGATTTTCAAGGTGTGCAAAAACCGATTCCGACATCTCTAATTAACAAAAAAATATGTTACATAAAATATATTGTGAAACATATTTATTCATCACATTATATATATATATATATATATATATATATATATATAGGGTTGGGTTCACGTGAGACCAGCCTGTTTTCGTGAGACCACATTTTTACACGTAACCTTCACAGCAAAAACACAATGAAGGTTTAAAAAAAGTCGAACCTTCACAGCAAAAACACTGTGAAGGTTTTAAAAAGTCACCTTCACAGCATTTTGCTGTGAAGTTTCAAGTGTAAAATGTTGGTCTCACGGGTCTCACGAAAACAGACTGGTCTCACATGATCCCAAGTCTATATATATATATATATATATATATATATATTTATTTATTTATGTGAAAACAAAATGTTATAAAATAATTATATACAAACATTAATACGTTTTTAATTAAAGTTTATCGTTTAGTCATCAATAATCATTGACTTTGATTATAGTTCGTCCATATCTTATTTTGTCTCATCTACATAAATAATTAAATTGTACTTAATATTAATAGCAAGATATATTTCTTAAATAGCATTTTAATTATTTGTAAAACATGTGTTTTATAATTCAGGTAATAGATTAAACTATATAATATTAATTGAATATTTTTAAAGATAACAAACTTTATTGAAAACGAAATAAATATAACAAACCGTCATTGTAGCTTTTCTGCAAAATACAGAAATACAATATTGTTTGAGTTGAACTTAATATCAAAATGAACGGTTTTAGTTATTAGAACATCTCGAACAGATTCTTTAAAATGAAGAAAATGATGAATTTTCTGTTCTAACAGAATATTCAAGACATAAAAATTAAGATAAGACAAAATGATTGCTTATGACTTGTAATTAATAATTACCATCAGTAATTTTTGAAAATTAAATGTTTAATAGAAACAAATAATATTTTATTAAATATATCGACTATCTTAATAATATAATTAATTTATAATTTCTAAATTAAAAATTAAAAATTTCAGGAAATTGAATGTAACTCTAAAGTTGGCCTCACAGCTATAAAATACTTAAAATAAAAATTATAATGAAAATAAATACAATTAAATTATTTTTAGTAATTTTAAGTTAGTAGGTAAATATGATAAAATCATTTAATTTGTTTTATTTATGTTATTTTAAATAGTTTATAATCTTTTTTATTTAGTATTTTTTTTAAATATTTATCAAACAATTATTATTTACTGTATATTTATTCAGACAAAAGATTGCATAATAATTTTTTTTAATTTAGACTATTTATTTAGTACATGAAATAAATAATAACTCCTTACAAAAACAACAACCATTTTAATTTAATAATACGGATTCATCCGTACTAATAATTGAATATATAGGAAAAAAGTCAATTCTATTTATATCTTTTTAATATGAGCAGTATGTAAATGAAAAAGAGGTATAAAATACAAGTGGTAATGCGACTCCACGAGCATCTTCAAGTGGTTCTCTGAAATGATTATTTTGAAAATTCTGGCGAAACTTTTTGTTTCATCGGAATTTAAAAAAAAATTCTCTAAAATAGAAGAGAATTGGTAAAATTCTTAAATTTGTAACACTATCTAAAAATAATTACCTATGAGAGAAAAGTAATTTTTTTATTTTCCTTACCAATGACAAATTCTTGAAATTAGATATTTAGTAGAGAGAAGTAATATTTATTATTGTATTACATATTATAATAATATAATAAATATTATAATAGTATAATAAATTATAAATTTTAAAATATAGAAATTATTAGATTTGAATGTTTTTTTTAGATTTTTCACTTTTTATTCTTAATTTTAGAAAATCTGTTGTAGATGCTCTAAGAGGTAGGGTAAACTTCCCTACCAGTTATGTTGTATTTTTTTTCTTTTCAAATTTAAAGATATTTCCATTATTTCTCATTTTTTTTCCTATTTTGTATGAGAGTTTAACATAACTGTTTCGAAAATTTTAAAATAACATAATTGTTAGAGATATTAAATGCATATCTACTTGCTAATATCTTCAACAAATACATCAATATCAAAAGTTTATATTTTGATATTGATGTAAAATAGGTGGTCGTATTGTGATTAGTCGGCTCGCATAACGAATTGGATTTTCAGGTTAAACAAAAAAAAATTATATTTTACATTTTTAATATATAATTTAACTCAATTTTAATTTGTACCGACGTGCATATAGCATCACACCCGATGTATAATTAAGGGTGCGTTTGGTATGCAGACTACATGGGACAGGACGAGGAAAAAAAAAACAGTCTCATGTTTGGCATGCCATTGACAAAAAAAAATGGGACAAGGTAGGACTATTTTTAATTTTAATGGGACAAATCTTGATATTTCTTGTTCCACCAAAAAAGGTGGAACAACATGGGACTAAAGTTAAAATGATAATATTTTGGTTGGTTTGTTGTCATTTTACAATCATTATATGATATAAAATAACATTTAGGGGTAATATGTTCATTTTAATAGTTTTGTCCCGTCCTGTCCTAATCGTACCAAACATAGGACAAACAATTAGTCTTGTCCCGTCCTGTCCTGTCCTGTACCGTCCTGTCCTGTCTCATCCAATCTGCGTACCAAATACTACTAAGGGTACAAATGGCTAAAGCCAAAAAATTCAATCAACCTTTTCTATGAAAGATATTTTAGGGATATATATATATTTGTCTCTTTCATAGGTGATGAAATATATATATATATAAGCCAACGAAGCAACAATTTCCCATTTGAAAAAGAGAGACCCACACACACAACCCTCAAAGAAGAATTCCAGAGGAAGAAGACGAAGAAGTTGATCGGAAAATATGAAGCTTGTTTGGTCGCCGGAAATTGCAGCAAAAGCTTTTATGGACACCGTTAAATCCGTAAGCACCCTGTTCCTTCATCCTTTTCCGATTATTCAATTCTGCAAATCAGAATTGAATCTATGTGTGTGTTTTTGTTCGATCGATCGAATTGAATCGTTTCTAGTTGGTGTCTGATTTCTGTGATTTTTCTTTTTAAGTGTGAACTTTTCCAAGGATCAAGTGTGGCGGAGCTAATATCGGCCATGGCCGCCGGTTGGAACGCGAAGCTAATCGTCGAAACGTGGACTCGCGGCGGTGTGACAACAACGAGCATTGGACTGGCGGTAGCAAGTTCTCACACCTCCGGCAGACACGTTTGCATAGTTCCCGACGAGGAAACCAGATCGGAGTACACCGCCGCCATGGAGAAAGCCGGAATGTCACCGGAGGTAATCGTTGGCGAGCCGGAGGAGGCGGTTAAGGGGATGTTGATAGATTTCTTGGTGGTGGATTCCCGAAAAAATAACTTCGCTCGGATCATAAAGGAGGCGAAATTCGGCCACCGTGGGGCGGTGCTGGTTTGCAAGAACGCTAGCCTGAAGGTGGCGTCGGATTTCCGGTTGCGTAGCTTGTTTGACGGTGGTTCACGGCGGATTGTGAGGTCCGTTTTTTTGCCGGTGGGGAAAGGGTTAGATATTGCTCACGTGGCGGCTGGTGAAAACGGGTCGGGTTCGGATAAAGTGAAGAAGAGCAGGTGGATCAGGCGAGTGGATAGGCAATCAGGCGAAGAGTATGTCATCCGGCAGTAGGATTATTTTCTTCATAAATTTTGCTACAAAAATGAAAAAAATAAAACAAACAAACTCTCTTTATTCATTTCATTTTCTACTTTTTTTATTATTATTAACGGTGGTGGTTTAGATCAGCTTGCATTTAGATTAATCCCAAAGATCTTGTAGAACAGGCAGTAAAATTCCAATGGTCTTACTTACAGGTTCGGATCAATGACCTCTAAAAAAATCCTTACAAAATCTTATTGCCAGTTGATCTGACTTTGCCAAAGTTTATTTCATTTTCTACTAGTGCTCTCCAAATTATGTAAATCTATGACAAAACAATAACCATTTCTCTCTGATAAATCTATATACTTAACCATGTATTTATAAAATTTAATTGTTAGCAAATGTTCAAATAAGAAGACTAGATATTATGAAAAAGTAAAAATAAAAGTTGATATATAAATAATTAAAAAATCATTTGAAAATGCATATGTGAACCAGTTATATATGTGATTTAGGTTTGTATATACATCTTCAGATAGATGTTATTTCTAATTATTTCAATGCATTCACATATAAACAATATTTTAACTTTCATTTCTTACATTCTCACAATATTTAGAAGTTGTTTGGTTGATTTTTATTAAATCAGGTATGGATAAAGCTATTTGTGTGAGTTAATTTATCTCTATGAAATATGAAGGCTTTTGTTTGGAAAGACTTTTTCACAAATGAAATAACATTTTTTTTAATTGGAGTGACATATTTGAAAAAACCTTAGCTGTTTGTATGAAGATTACTGAATAAGTTACTTTCTATATTATTAAGTAAATACCAAACAATCATGTATATAAGTCCAAATAAGTTGCAAGTCTCATTAAATTGCTAACAAACATATTTTTAGCCTTCTTATTTAAACCGACCCTGAATTTTTAATTTTCGTATATGTATAATATTTAACTATACGTTGTTTACCAAATATTTATCTGGTAAACGTTTATTGGGTGAGTATGATAAGAACCCATAATCTTATCCACTAAGAGGCATAACACATATGAGAATCATACCTAATAAAGAAAGAGAGAACATTATTGCTAGGTAAACGTTTTACCATATAAAAGATACATACCAACAATCTATTTTGATGATCGTAAATATTACCTTATAAGGTAAATAAGATGTTGATCTTACAGATAAATATTTAGTAAACGGCCTCTACGATATAAATAACTAATATATAAGCTTGTAGCTTTTGTACTAACAAACAACAATTTAATGAGAGAGCCAAAATTATCCTTACAACCTAATAAATACTTGCAATAAGTAGATGCTTCTTCTACAATTAGCGTAGTGTCGAGGAGCATTTAATTGGTTGATCTTATACTTGACATTTGTTAACACGGTGAATATGAATCAATGAATGCAACTTTCTCTCGAAGTTTTAAAGGATTTAAAAAACCAACTAAAAAACAATTAAGACTATAAATTAGCTGATAAACTAGTTGATGTCTTATAAGATAGACGATAGTTGATAAACTAAAGGGTCATTTACTAAACACTTACCGAGTAAGTGCTTACCGACAAAATTTAATATTATCATTGACTTACCAGGTAATATTTTAGTCCACCAAAACGGTATCGTATGCAATAATTTACCTGGTAAGCATTTATCGTGGTAAAAGTTATCGCCCTTACTTACCGGGTAAGACTTTTGGTCTTTGTCTCGCTCTTACCGGATAAGATTCTTGGTCCTTGCCATATTCATCAGGTAAGGTAATGTGACTTGGTGTTCACTTAACCGCGTAAACGTTTGGTAAACGATCCCTAAGTTTAGTAAAAACTAACTGATAACCTAGTTGAAAGTGTAAAATGATAAAAAAAAAAAAAGACAATTTAAAAAATTAGTAAATTTTATTATTTCATTATATATTTAAAATAATTTGTTAATTAATACAAACCAGATGGTAAAAAAATAAAATATGTTAATTCATAGAATTCTAATTTGATTTATACTTTTTTAGTTCTTATGATTTTGATATCTATTGCTTTTTTTATCCTATGGTTTACAATTCATTTCTAATTTAATCCTTCGTATGAAACCATATGGACAAAATTCGCAATTCTTTACAAACCATAGGGGCAAAAAAGGTATTTTATTCTAAACTAAAAATAGCTAAGACCATAATTTGAAGCAAAGATGGCTAAAAATGGGTCTAGATCCAGGTCCGAATTGGTTGGTGTGTAAGTTGATGCACAGTAAAAACAGTGGGACCGAATGTAACTGTATAACCGTTCCTGGTTCTCAAGTACTTTACTGTACTTGAGTCGGTTTTTAAAAATCAAAATTGGTGTGTAAGTTAAACAAGTTTTTATTATTGTGATTTTTGAATACAATCTCTATATATTATATGTTTTAATTAAAATTCTTGAAAACGCGGTCGCTTCGTATAACTGGTCCCAATACCGAGTTAGGTCAAAAAAATTCCAAAAAATCCATAACTGACAGTCATGATAGCATTTGGTATCGCTCATGGTCGCATAAGGTCCCAAGCCAAACCGATCTTGTTTTGTCCATTTCTAACATAGACGTATTAAACGAGTAGTTTGTAAAATTTTTTACAGAGAAAAAATAGAGAAAGGAAATGAAAATAAAGGAAAGAAAAAATATCATCTCTAAGTTTTTTTAGAGAAAAAAAAAAGAAAATTGATATTAATTTTCCTTCAAGGAAATAAAAGAAAATAAAGCATAACAAGTAATATATATACTTTGAAAGAAAACTTGAGATGATATTTTTTTCTTACCTCTACTTTCATTTCCTTTCCCTACTTTTCCTCTGTGAAAAAGTTTACAAAGTACTTATTTAATACGTTTATGTTAGAGTATACTAGTTGTGTATCCGTGCAATGTGGCGGGAGCCGTGAATTTTAACGATTTTGAAGTTTCATTGGTTTTATTAGAGAAGATTTAACGATGATATAAGTTACACTTGGTTTTTACATATTAATACAATTTGAATAAATAAGAGTTATTGTTTCAATTACAGTCTATCGATGAAAAAAATTGTATGACAATTTAAAATCCAATATATTTAAACGACTCCACAAATATGTTCGATTTACATCAAGAGATCGAGAGTGAGATCGAGAGTTCTAGAGCAATTGAATGAGAGATGAATGAGAAAACTTTTAATAACTCATGATGAATATCAAATTAAATCTCACTTTGGGGGATGGGGAGAAGACATAGAGAGGTATGATAGAGTGAAAGCATGAGTGAAAGGTGTCAAAAGTATCTTGGAAACATAAAAAGAAAAGGTAATAATGTGCATTGGTAACTTGTACTATATGTTATTTTAATTGTAGATTACGAGATTTTAAGACTGAATGTATAAAGTAGTAGTACTTAATGCATTATAAGTTGTTTTTAAAACTTTTAAGACTTTGTGCACAAATGTATAGTACTTTGTGCATTAAAAATTGTTTTTAAAACTTTTGACAAATCTGGTTTATAAGATAGTATAGATATATACTTCAATTCTTATGACCATATTTTCTTTATCGAATTCATCATTTGTGAGATTACATATTCAAAACAACGACATAAATTTATTTTTAAGTACCGATTGAATTGATAAAGTGTAATTTTATATTTAAAACGTCTATTTTTAGTGACGGATGAACGAATATAATATGATCATTAAAAATATGTTACTGATAGATTTATAAAATATTAATTGTGTCCTTATTGATATGTGATATCAGTAGATGTGTAGGTGGAATTCATATAAATGAGATCTTGGGTTTAAGCGGTGGGCATCATTCCTCTGCCAATGAAATGCATATACGATTCACTTTTCCATAATGACCGTGGGACTAGTACAATTAAAGAATTATAGAGAGTGACATTTATTTTTTTACATTATCTGTGTATTTTGTAATAACATATTTTCAGTAAAAGTATTTGTTGAGATATGTAAATAAGAAAATCAAGTAAAGTTAGTTAACATGTCATCTATATAACTAAAAGAGAAACCAAAATAAATTTAATTTAACAGATTTTGACATGGTTATTTATTACATACATAATTTGTACGGCAAAACAACAAACTTGATAAGGTATTAAATTTTTCCGTAGGTATTACCATTTTTTCCTTTAAACCCGTCATGTTAAATGCTTGTTAATTTTTTTTTCAAATTCATCACACGAGTATTCTTTAGTGTTATATATATATATATATATAGAGAGAGAGAGAGAGAGAGAGAGAGAGAGAGAGAGACTTGGGATCATGTGAGACCAGCCTGTTTTCGTGAGACCCATGAGACCAGCATTTTACACTTGAAACTTCACAGCAAAAATGCTGTGAAGGTGACTTTTTAAAACCTTCACAGTGTTTTTGCTGTGAAGGTTCGACTTTTTAAAACCTTCACAGTGTTTTTGCTGTAAAGTTTACGTGTAAAAATGTGGTCTCACGGGTCTCACGAAAACAGGCTGGTCTCACGTGAACCCAACCCTATATATATATATATATAAAGAATACTCGCGTAATGCAACGAGATATATATTGATTTTAATATTTTGTTTCTCTGTTTCCATCAATGTTATAATACGATTTTATGTGGTACCGAAAAAACGATAATGTTTTTATTTTTTGAATAAAATATAGATTTGAAGTTATCATAAAAATTTTAAAAAAATGTATCGATTTTAGTATCAAATTAAATGTTTAAAAGTTATTGTTTTTTGTGTAATTTCTATAATTCAATTTGTTATTATAATTTTATTTAGATTTAATAGCGAAGTCATTTATATTTGGTTTAATAATATAATTTTTTATAAAGATAATAATTAGTATTTTGTTAGAATTCAATGATTATCCTAAATATAATTTAAATTTTATACATTTAAAATGAGATAGCTAGTCAATATTTAATTATGTTTATCTATAGTTAGTTACACAAATTCAAATATGAAGCTTTAATAAGTTGTATATGTGCAAAATTTACTTGTAATCTTGAATTTTAAGTAATATATACATAAATAAACAACAGCTAATGCATAAAAAAAATGATTTTTAAGAGTTTTTATCAAATGATTTACAATTTAGTATAGATATGACAATTATGTATCACAAACTTTCATACAAAATGTCAGATTGTAGTGAAAACTTTATGTTGATTAAACAAAGATGATCTTACGTGATCAATCAATTATCTATCATTAGTACTGAATTTTTTATTTTACTATTGAATTCAACTTTTATAA